CTTGGATTTGGCGTCCTATCCTTAGAAGAGGGATCACCCTTGAAGACAAAAATGATATATCAGCTCTTCTCTCCCATTTGAACTCTTTTGATATTGCAGGCTGCCCATCTGATGATCAGATTAGATGGCCTCATAAGGTCACGGGTGAATTTTCAGTCAAATCTTTTTACAGCAATTACACGTCAGGGGGTATGTCATCTCACCTATATAAGTTCATCTGGAAGTCTCCCACCCCTTTGAAGGTAAAAGTGTTTTTCTGGTCTGCAAGTAAGCACAAACTCAATACCAGAGATAATTTGGTAAACAAGGGTTGGTCTGGGGATCCAAATTGCCCTTTTTGTAATCTTGCAACTGAAACTCATGATCACATGTTTGCTTCATGTGCTTTCACAATCAGTGCCTGGTCTGCTCTTCTCCCTCAAGCTTCATCTGCAGATTGGCCTCACAGTTTGGACACTCTGATTGCCATCAAAAGCAGCAGTCAGTTCAGTCAAGATTTAAAAAATATTTGGAAAGTCATGCTTCCTTGCTTTTGTTGGTGGATTTGGAGTTGCCGCAACTATCTGATCTTTAATGACATCAAGACAAATCCTCATCTCATTGCAGCAAACGTTGCGAGGTACATATTATTCTGGACAGGTACTGCTACCAGTAGATCGGCTATTAAAATCCACAAGGCAGCTCTCAATTTAGGTATGAAGGATATAGCTGGTACAAAAGCTGGGAACGAGGTAGGAGATAACTTCTTTCCTTAGCTTCAATTCATAAATATCGAGTGGCATGGATGTCTTCTCCCCACCTCCCTGTTTCTGGTCTATTTTGTGGATTTTTTTCCCCTGTCAGCAGCTCTTTCTTCTTGCTGATGTAAAGTTTTGTTAAGTATGGGGGCGAAGCTCTGTTTCCCTTCCCCTTAGTGAACAGTAGTTTGAGTATGTAAAGCATGTCTTAACCAGGTTTTTAGTTTATATATATATATATATATATATATATATATATATACCTGTTTTTTTTCTTCAAAAAAAAAAAAAAAAAAGAACAAAATTCAAAAAAAACTGTGAAAATTATAGACCTAGATGTCTTTAAACTAAAATCAAATTTAAATCTCAAAATTTAGACTGAAATGTCATTAAACTAAAATCAAAATTACAATACTTATCCTTCAGGTTGAAGAATTTACATGTCAAACCCCAAAAAATTCAAAGTTTTTACAAATTAGTTCTTGAAATGTGCAATTTGGACATATTGGTGCTTAAAATTGCAGAAATGAGAAATAAAGATTACGGACCATTAAGTCCTTAAACTAGACTTAAAAAAAGTCACGTCAAATCTCAAAATAGACAAAAAAAATTTTGCAGTTAAATTAAGAAAAAAATTAAATCTCAAAACTGGAGACTACATTGTCTTTAAAAATATCAAATTGAAATCTCAAAATTTTGAACGAATAATGTCCTCAAACTTAAATCAAAATTAAGTCTCAAGATTACATACCATATTGTTTTTTCAACTAAAATCATATTGAAATCCCAAAATCATGACCAAAAGTGCATTTAATCTAAAATTCAAATATTAAAATTATGGACCGAAATGTCTAAAAAAATAATACTAAAATTAAATGTCATTTTTGTCTAAAAAAATCAAATCTAAAAGTATGGACCAAAATAAATAGTCCTTAAATTAAAAGAACAAAATTTAAGTCTGAAGCCTCAATAAATAGCCCTTCTTCCTTTTCAAATCAACCAAAAGATCGACAATCTTCCTTCTCCTTCTCATTTAGGACCCAAAAAATTTCCATCAGTTAAATTTAAGTCTGAAGCCTCAATATTTTCAAATTTGTATTCAAAATGTTTAAATTGGGTCCATAAACATATATATGCCTCGAATAAAAATGGAGCGAGGAAAAAGGCGAATCGCCAGGCGATTTGAAAGTAGTCAAGGGGCGAGTTCCAATCAAGCGGCGCGCCGCCTCCCAAAACCACGAGTGGTCTCTATCATCAACGGTAAGCTCACTGTCACCCCCTTCTCTCACATCCCTCCTCCTACAGGGCCGCCCTCTTCGGCCTCTCCACCACCAGCCCCTCCATTCTCAAACTTCCCCCCTCTCACCAACCCATCATCCTCCAAAACATCTTTCTCTTTCCAGCATCCTCCCTTTCATCATCCCAAATCGCCAGCTCCGCCTCCATTCTCTTCTTTTGCTGATCTTTTCAAAAACCCTAAGGTCCCCTCTTCTTCCCCTTCTTCTGCCGCCCCAACCCCATCGCCGGCGATCCCCCAGCAACCCCACGCCAACCCTAGCACCACCGCTGTCCCTCATCGCTGCCATCAACCCCGTCGACGCTCTCCGACCAGATCCGACAACACTAACTACCTCGCGTCCGCCTCCTTCCTCGCTGCCGCCAGATCCAGGTCCGAACAACCCCCTTTGTCGTTGACCCCACTCCGCAGTCGTGCTCCTCCTCCGCTGACCCGTCGCCGATGTCGTCGCTGCCCAAACCCGTCTCCGACAGTCCCGCATCCGATCCAACCCGCATCGCACGTCGACGTCGATCCGTTCGACGAACCCGAGGTAAGATCCCGATCCTTGTTTAGTTTCGTTCCAGTTTTTATATTTGTCGTAGATTATTTATGTGTAAGATCCCGTTGCTCAGTTGTCATTCTTTACATTTTAGATTGTTATGATTTATCTGCATATTTTGATTTGTGAATTGTTATTATCTATGTGGGACTGTTGATGATAATATTTCAAATGATAAATTAATAATTTTCTAGATTTATTTGAATTATTATTATGAGAAATAATTTTAAAAGAGTTATTCTAGAAAAACGGTTTAAATTGAATTATTATAATAATAAATGAGCTGAAAGAATTTATTTTGAAAAATGAGTTAGTTTTGAATAATTATAATGTAAAATAATTTTAAAGGAAATTTTTGGAAAAGTGATTATTTTTAAAGGAATCTATTTCGGAAAAGATTGTTTTTGGAATTAATCAATTTATGAGCGAAAAGTGATTATTTTTAAAGGAATCTATTTCGGAAAAGATTGTTTTTGGAATTAATCAATTTATGAGCACGACGATTGGAAATTGCGACATTTCATGTGTAATTATTTGATAGTTGTAATTCCATCTTGCACTGTTATTAGTAGTTGTTCACGTTTCCTGTTCATGATTCATGACACTGTTACATAGTATTCATTGCATTTATACCTTGTTATAGTTGAAAATCGCGAGTATTGCTTAACCATAGTGACCCGTGAGATATGAGTTGTTGACTTGGACTTGGGATGGGAAAGTCTTGGTTCATGTTATCGGATATGTTGTTGTTTATTTCCAGGCTCGCACCAGTGAATCGTTTCGCACTGGGGTGGGTCTGAGGTGATATGATATTGTGATTGTTGATTATTTCCAGGCTTGCACCAGTGAATCGTTTCGCACTGGGGCGGGTCTGAGGTGATGTGATATTGTGATTGTTGATTATTTCCAGGCTCGCACCAGTGAATCGTTTCGCACTGGGGTGGGTCTGAGGAGCGGTGATATTGTGATTATTGATTATTTCCAGGCACGCACCAGTGAATCGTTTCGCACTGGGGCGGGTCTGAGGTTCTAGTGAGATATGGTTAACCAGATATCCGATAATGTGAACTTTGGCTCTGTGTGAGATAGTGACCAGTGAGTTATGATAGGATGGCTAGTTGTTTTCTTTCCATACATAGATCAAGATTAATATTTAATTATCGACAATTCGAGACATATGGTATATACATGAGGGTTTCCTTGTTTGGATTATTTCGCTCGACGTACTACGTCTCTTGTTGTAGATTTTTAAATATTAATTCCATCTATTGTATGCCCTTGTGACTTGGATGATTTGACTGATCGCTAGCTGCATGACCTCGTTACCTGATCGATTTTGGATGCTTTATGTTATCATGATTTAGTAGTGTTTTCATGTTGATTTGTGGATTTCAATTGTACGTTCTTTTGTTGTTTCTGTTATCGTATCGTTTTTCGCATTGGATTTCCGTTCGTTCTATTTTATTTGTGGGGTCGGGTCTTGCCGTGCGTCATGCACCTGACGTACACCTGTTTTCTCTGGTGTACGTCAGACTTAGAGGAAGAACAGGTTTAGCTGGGAGATCATCAGGAGCCAGAGGATTCTCAGCAGGATGTTGTCTTTGCACAGCAAGGGAGTAGAAGAACCATCTGAAGCGTTAGTGATTTTCTTCTGTAGTAGTAGTTGGACATTAGAACTCGTTTATCGTACTTTCTTTTAGTTTGATGATATATTTAGTTATTTTATTTCCTTTTATTATGGACTATGTATTTCTTATTTCCTAGTTGAACTGTTGTTGTAATAAGGGACGATTTGACCATATTTTATGTCTGGGATGCATTTACCATTGATGATATGTCTATTTTTATTCTGGCGTTGTCTTTATATTCTGCTTATGTGTGATGCGGGGACCTGTGACTTCGTATGTTTTATTTCAGACGCTTAGCGTATTAGATTGAGAAGACGGGTCTAGCACTTATCTCTTCTCAGTCTAATACGTCGCGCGGCTTGCTCGCGTCCCGATTCCCTGGTATTTTGGGAAGCGGGGGCGTGACATATATATATATATATATTATATATATATATATATATATATATATATATATATAATATTTGAACAGGGTATCTCACCCTTTTTTTTTCTTAAAAAAAAAAAAACTTACCATGAAACCTCCCCAACAACGTTAACCTTAAATTCCACACCATTGGGTAAAATTGCAAAGCGGGTTGCTTTTTCCAATGAAAATTTTGGTTGATGTTTTTATGAGGTTTTTCGAGGAAATCTTAAAGTTGAAGCGTCTTTCCCGTGACCTCTAAACCTAAGGTACTTTTTTTTTCCGGAAAGTTGAAGGGGTTATCTGATAATCGTCCAAAGTTAAGAGGGGTTTTCTGATATTAGAGCTTAATAGAAAACAACCAGAGAATCCCCACACATTTCTCCAACGCACAAAAAAACACCCATTCCTCCTCTCATCTCCACAATTTAAACAACAACAAAAAAAACTCTCATTTTCACAAATTACCCAATTAATAAGCAAATCTCCAACCGTATATCCCCCAAATTACAGCCAAATGGTTGGCAACGAGCGAGAGCTCTTTTTTATTTTCTTGTGAGGCCTCGAGGAGCTCATAAGAAGAGGAAAACCGCCTCTCTGGACTCGTTCGTTTCGTTTCGAGCTCTCTCTGCTGTCCTTTTTTGAGAACAGAGCAAGCTCCCCCCACCGCTTCCCCTCTTCCCTCTTAACTACTCTCTCTCTCTCTCTCTATCATCAATGGCTGTTCAAGCCCAATACCCGTCTCATATCCTCCTCTTTAATAATAATAACAATAGGTAGCAGCGGTTAATTATCCCTTTTGATGGGTCTCCCTAATTTCTTCAAATAATGATGGGTTTTTTATTTCAGAAGCATTGAGCAAGAGAGGAAGGAGATGGAGTGCGCCCAGCAGCCACCTGGGTTCTTCTTCAGCGGCGGTGAGTTTTAATGATCACACGGCTTGGCTTCCTTTTTCTTCGTTGATTTTTTTTTATTTTTTAAAAAAAGTGGGTTTGTTTTTGATTCGTCTATTTTTATTTACCGTTGCTGCAGTTAATGGGAATCCGAGGAAAAGAGGGAGAGAGTTTCAAATGATGCCGACCCCGTCGATTCAATCTCCGGCTTTTATGAATCTCGTTCAGTTGCAAGCACAAGCTCCTCCTCCTCCTCCTCCTTCGTTAGTCTCGACTGGGCTCAAGCTGGCGTTTGAGGACGGCGATCAATTCGTCGAGCAGGATCTCCTCTCTCTGGTCAACAACCAGAAGGAAGAAATCGAGCGGTATCTCGTCGCCCAGGTGCCCGAACTTACCGTTATGCCCTCGCCTCCTTCGTCCCCCCCTCGTTCTCTCGGTTTATTTTTTTGTTTTGTTTTTTTTTAAATGGAGGTGTGGGGTGGGGAACCCATTTTTGTCTCGCGCAGGCGGAGCAGCTTGAGGCGCCACGTTAGCGGCAGAGAGCTGGACGGAGCCACTACAAGCGCCGCTGCTGGGGCGCAGCGGAGGAGCGGCTGAGGGCAAGGACGCCGAGCTGGGCCGGGCGGTTCGGAAAGCCGCCATTTGCAGAGCCAGATCGGGCGGGTGAGGCCGAGATGCTGACGTGGCAGGCGAGGGCGATGGCGGGCCAGGCGACGCGGCTCGCTCCACGCCCAAATCCAGGCAGGCCCATTTGAGGCCCAAGGAGAGCGGTGATTCGTGGCCGAGGATGCGGAGTCGGCCCATTTGGACCCGGACCGGGTCGAGGACACGGGGAGGGGGCGGCGTGTCGGGTCTGTCGCGCTTCGTCCGTGTCCGGCGTGCTGCTGGCCGTGCCGGCATTTGTGCCTTTGCTCGGACTGTGACGCTGCCGTTAGCGAAGCTGACGCCGTTTGCTGCCCGTCTGCCACGCTGTCAGACTGCAGCGCCTTCAAGCTGCCTTTCTTGATGGGCTCGAGTCCCGTGACCGCCCTCCTCCCCAAAAAAAGAAACAATAATAGGATAACAAAACGGGAAAGGAAAAAAAAAACCCCGAAAATGTTCAGCTATTTTGGTTGTTGGAAAAAAAAATATTCAATTTATTTTATCGAAATTTCTTATTGCATGAAATACTGGAGTGGACTTAAATGGGTGAGTTCTTTATAGTTTTAAATTTAATTTTTTAGGGTTTTAATATTACTCCCTGAGGCCTCCCTAAGTCCTCGTTTGGTACTCGGGAATGAGATGAAATGAAATGATCATTTTCACTTCTCATTCATTGTTATCAAACACACTTTTTTTTAAAAGTTGGAATGCTCATTCTCATTTCTCATCAATTCTCACTTTATGTGGGAATGTGCATTCTCAATGAAATGACCGGGAATGAGCATTCTCACTTAAATGTGAATCAATAAAATATACAATTTTAAAATACGTTTATTTTCATTTCATTTTATAAATTACACCCAAACGTGAGAATGAGAATGACTATTCCATTCCGTTCATTCTTTCATTCCATTTATCATTTGAGTTTATTCCCGCGTACCAAACAATGCGTAAAATCTTTATATGTTGGAAACAGTCGCTCAAATCATCAAAATTGTTATTTGGTCCTCAAGAAAAATTCATTAGTCCCTCAAATTAATGAAATTACTATTTGACAAATTAATTCCAAAATATGATAGCTTCAAATTACTAATATAAGAAAAAAAAACACTATTTTCTATCTTGAGCGCAGCATGGCACAGTTTTGTTGTGATTACGTGCGGTGCGGTTAAGGAAACCAGCGCCACATGAAAAGTGCTACCGTACCACGACACGTCCCATGCAGCGGGTGCACGAGAATCGCGAGTAACGACCGCAGATTGCGTACATCGCGCGCGGGTAGAAGGTGCTCGACGTGGTGACGTGGAGAAACGTGGAGCGTCGGATGGAGTTCGCTGTTTTGTCCCGCACCGCACCGCACCGCACCGCACCGGACTGATTGTTGCCGTTATTGATGTACCCCGCCATGTTCGCACGTGACTTGTTCGGTTTTGAACCGATCATGTGAAGTGGTAGAATAATGAGTGTTTTTATTATTAGGAAAAAACTTGAATAAATATTGGGCTAAATTAGCACTTATTTGTCTTATAGTTTCTCCAACTTCCCGCGTACGCAATGCGTGCATGATATATTATACTCTTATGAATAATGAGTGTTTTTGAAATAATTGTTAGCGATTGCCGAACTTTACGATGATAAATTACTCTTATTATTTGCGAGGATAAGGTACATTTATATCTCATGATTTTCATTAGCAACCCAACCATTTAAAACTTAACAAATACAAAGATGAACGTACTTGGACTAAATAAAGAAAATTAATTAAATTCACAGGGGAAAAAAATTGGTGGTAAAATCAATTAATTTGTCTCTTTGCATTTCATTCTGGGAAAATTTACAAAATAGTCTGTTTTTGCTAATTATTTAACAAATAGATCGTTTGCTAAATAATTAGCAAAATAGATCTTTTTTGGCCAACAGGTCAAAAAGAGGTCTATTTTGCAAAACAGCTCAGAAAACATACAGGACTAGTAGTCCCGTATGTTTTAATCACGGATTAGTGAATTCAGAAAATTTTACAAAACATTAAGATGAATTCAGAAAACATACGAGACTACTAGTCCCGTATGTTTTCTGAGTCACTAATCCGTGATTAAGTTGGCTCTAAACATACGGGACTAGTAGTCCCGTATGTTTTCTGAGTCTTGTTTTTTAAAATCGCCTTTTTTTTCAAAAGAGGTCTATTTTGCTAATTATTTAGCAAAACGGTCTATTTTGCTAAATAATTAGCAAAAACGGATTATTTTGTAAATTTCCCCTTTCATTCTTGAGGAGTCTCATTGTTCACCACTGGAATGAGGACGTCGGAGAAGACAAAGTCTTACTCAAATATTCGGAACGCGATTACGGTTAGAAAGGAATTGCGACAAGAGGCGGGGGGGGGGGGGGGGGTAAGGTATGAGTCGGCGTATGGATTGTTAGGGTTTTTTTTGTATTTCACTTTTAGTCTTCAATCTACCTTAAATTGTTGAGGACATAAATTGAATTTGTTAGGGGTATGCCACCAGCTGGCGTTGCTCTAAATATAGTAACGGATATACCTCACTCGTATTTGCCACCACTTATCCATCCAGAACTTCTACAGTTTTCGCCTTCAATATCTTCTGGTATACATCTCATAGTATGTGAGAATTTTTTTCAAAAATTTTCACAAACATAAGTATTTGATTGAATTTAACCCTTCACAATTCTATTTTAACACAGTCAGGTCCCCAGCAGGCTATGTTTTTCTTAAAAGTCCACGTGAATACACCAAAATCTTACTACGGCGAGGTTTGATTCTTTATAATTTAGTCATAGGCCCATACATATTGAGGCTTCTTTTTTGTATGCGAAACCTGGAACTCGCTATTTAACGGTGGACAAAATTTTTAAATTTCACTTTAAATTTGTAGTCGGGGTGAATTTCAACTTGAGCTACTCCTTATTCATCTTGAAATACTCTGTCACTACACCAAAACATTGAAGTTGTAGCGAGGAGGTTGACGCCATAGTTATTAATCTAACATATAGTAAATTCAACAAGCATGCAGATGTTAAACGAGTACTTAAAATTAGCTTGTGCCTAAATGAGAATTTATCACATTGACATACCTGAAAGGTACTAAGGGTGCTTTTGTTTCGTTTTTTAACTTGGTGAAAAAGTTTTACACCACCTCCACATCAGATTTTTCGTGGCACGTAGGATATAAGCCTTTCCTCGGTTTTTTTCCCCATCTTTGGTTCGCTAGGGTATAGAGGAAACTCCGAAAATCGCCGCACATCAGCACATTTTTTTTTTCCTTCCCTTTTGCCTCACCTGCGTGAAATCGACAAAAACTGCAGCCACGTCAGCTTTTTGCCATATAAACAAAAATTTTCCTTTTTTTTCATGCCCGAACCAAACACTACAATACACAGTTTCCCATTTTGTCGGCGAACCAAAGCGAAAACAATCTATTTCTTGAAAAGTTTGAAAAACTCAAAACTTTGTGTTTGTACATGGAAATACATTTCCCTATAATCTAGGAAACGAACCAAACAGCCCTAAGTGGCAAATTTTAAAAACTTTAGGATACGTAAGCCGCTGCCAAAATAGGTAAAGGCATATAAGTGCGTATTAGAAAAACTATGCGAAGGTACAGAGCTAATTAGCCATAATATTGCATAAAAGGTGACGTTGACAGTCAATTTGCTAAAGTTTGAAGGAGAATCCGAAGAAAGAAAAAGTAGAATAAAGTTGCCCCAGGGCGAAAAAAATGAGTTCGGAGAGAGAATATGTATATATTGACAAAATCCAAAATATTCCTAGCGTGGTGGTTGAATTCTATTAATTGTAATTTGGATTTTGCAAAAATGACAACTCTTAATTGGTCAAGAAAAAGGTTGGAAGGAAGATATATATCTCCACGATTCTTGAAGAGATATTTAACTGCGAAAAAGAAAAAGATCGAAAAACATACATTTTACTTTCAATTTGCGTACAATAATCCTAGGATCAAGATTACTCTACCACTTTAATTTAAAAAAATGACATTATAATTAGAGAGAGATAAAAAGGTGAAGCCCCCTGATTTTATCTTAATTTTAATTTTAATTTTTGATCTATTTCCCTAGTTTGCTCCTTCACAATTATTTCTTTGAGGTAGTTGTCTTTTTTCAGCTATGAAGCTTTATTGCTCATTTTTGTCCTTCACGATATATTGGTTGGACGGTTTGAAATATCGAGACATCAACCTAATCTATAATCCTTTGCCTATTCTATAATCCTTTGAGCATAACTGAAAAGCTGCTCTCTATTTGCATATATAGGGACAAATAATCATATTTTAGGGGGGGGGGGCGGGGGGGGCGGGATCTTTATTTAGTAAGAGGCGGTTTTCGATTAATCTACAACATACATGATGCAGGCTACACAATGATTCAGATCTATGATTTATAATGCAATGACTATCGATTCATTGCATCTTATTATGATTTATAAACGCAATGGACTAAAGACTATGACATGCAAAACTTATCAATTATTAATGGAGAATTAGTATGATCATGGAGACGTATAACTCCTCCTTGGTAGAGTTCTTTTTGAGTTTTTTCTTTGTAAAACCTTCTTTATTTATGTCATAATGATATAAAGAAATTGGGCTGCTTCTTAAAAAAAATCATGAGCACATTAAGGAGACTACAATTGAATTAAAACCTTTTTCACCCATTTTGAGAGGAATTTGATTTATGTAAATTTTGGTACTTTTTTGTACTTTACAAAAAATATTTCCATTTATATATATTTTTAACCAAACACAGTTTTACAGATATCTATAGAAAATTTTTAATTACAGAATTGTCATTTGTCAGACATTTTGGAGAAAAATTTTCTATAAAATTATGCCAACCAAACACCCCCTAATAGTTTGG